ATATTCTGACTATGTATTCTGATACCCACTGCCTCTGTTAGTAGGGGGGGGGATGTAAGGGCTTGCTCGCAGCTCTGGCCTTGAGACCTTCGGGAAGGGCATGTCAACTGCTGTCTGACTGTCTGCCACCGACTGACCAGATTGAAGCCCATTATTCACGACGATTTTGACAGGGAGTTGGCTAAGTCAATCGTGGAAAAAGTCGCAAGTAATGAAATATTTCAACCATCAAAAGAAATCAAAAGTGCGTGAAAATGACAGCAGGTAGAGATGCTGCATTTTTCGTCAGATGCGTGCTTCGGAAGGGCAATTTGGCGTTAATCATAACCAAGCAGTCAAGGTGTAATCGAAATAACAAAAATGAAGAAAAGAGGGTAGACTTACTGCTGTTGGACAGGGGCAGAATGTTGTCCATACATCAACAAATCGCTTTGGAATGCCAACCTCCTCCTCCAATTCCCTAAGAGCAGTTGTCACAGCATCTTCATCCATATGTGCATCAATTTTACCGCCAGGAAAACTGTGAGAATAATCAGTAAGAACGCGAGGAATCGCCTACCTTACTTCCCCAGGATGGAGCCGTAAACGCATTGAGCGTTTAGTGTAAAGGATTGTGGGTTTACCATCGTAGTACATAAGGGGAATCAGTACGGCCGAATCATGACCAATCTCGGGTTTTGGTCGCAGGGGGGTCACCTTTTTTAGAAGGCCCACACAACGTTGTCGATTCGCTGAGCCAAAAAGTTGCCCAAACTTGCTCATATGGATCTGTGTATAGGGAAACCAAAATACAATTAGTTTGTTACCCAGTTACAATGACGACTTCAGCCAACCTGCATCCTATACATCCAACAAAAATGGATAAACAAGTGAGAAAAAAACAAGTCGAGCACTGGAAAAAGAATTTTGCTATTCCAAGCTGCATAGAGCCTAAACCGAATCGAACGCTTGATTTCGTTGAGATAGTGATATTAAAAAGATTTAGATCAGGGCCACGCGGGAAGCTGGTCGCAAATTGATCGATGGATCATATCGAGCCATATGCAGTGCAGTCCAACGACCGGTGACGGCTGCCAGGTTCGAGGCGGCCAAGCACAGAAACGTGAGGCTAAGTCGATTGCCTGCCTTCCCTGCTTACATTTTTTTCGCTGTTGAACCCAGAGACCAGTCACCGTACCGGCATTAGAAAAAGTAGAACCAGTAAACCAAATCTCCAAATGCAATTTGCTGACGTTGTAAGAGCTGCAAGACTGAAATTTACTTAATAGGAAAAAGCAAATAAGAACTTTCTAAAATACTAAGGTATTATACAGCCACCTGCTTAAGCAGGTAAAACAGTCAACAGTTAACTTGGACAAGGAAGAGTATGATTTAAATGTAATTCAGTTTCTGTGATGTGGCACTATCGAAAGGCGTAAAAGTTCTGACTCCAATATTCCTGCAGGCAAAAATTGCGGAAATATTTGACATGGAGCGTCAATTTTACTTCCCTTGGACAAGTAAGGCCTGTAACTTACGCCAAAATTAACAATTAAAAGAAGAAGATTGTACCCATGCGCGTATTCTGTCGGTCAAGTGGTTTCATATTTGAACTGATCACAATGTAGTTTGTCTGGCTTAGGACGTATTGCGGATCAAAAATTGGTAGTTCAGTCTTTATTACTCATGAGCGTTCTTGTCAGAACAATGAGAAAACATTTTTGTCCAACAATGGAGTAAGGCTAGTACATGTTGTGTGCATAAAATAATGGAAATAAAAAAGTTATATAATAATATGATATATATTAGTAAACATTGTATTAATATGGTATTGTAATAAGTGTCAGATATAAAAAAACGTGTACTTGGTACACCTGTGACGTCTGATATGGTGGCTCCAAGTATGTAACAGATCGTACTTCTCTGAGCATGGCAACGCGCAGTAGCGGACCTGAACAGCTCAAAGTTCGGAGCATTGGACTTCTAATTAATAAGTCGTGGGCTCGTGCCTTGGGTGGTGCGCCACCCAGAGTTGGGTGTAGCTGGCTGATGAAGGCTTATAAATTATTTCAGCCTCCCTTGCGTTTTGCGACAATGTTCATATGCTTAAAACATTTCCTTCTCCAGTGACAGAGACTGAATGTCCAAGAGCAACTTTCATGTCTTGCTGAATTGTGTCGCGCGAGCTTTTCAGTTGACCTTCTTGTTATGCCCAAGTGAGTATTGGCACTGGATCGACGGCATTAACGCTCAGATCATGAGGCGGA